CACACCAATTTTTGACACTAACCTTCGACACAACCCTTGGAAATACACTGTCCGTTGGCCAGCCTGAACTCGACACGCAGGGGTCCAGGAGCTGCAACTGGGGGCGGTGGAGGGATCAGACCAACCTCAATGACCAAAGCTTCAACTGCTGTGCCGATATACCGACACTGGAAAAGCAGCCTGAGGGTAAAAAATAAGATCTTCTTCATTCATTCAGAATAATATAGTTGGAGTTGGGCTTAAAATATCACTTTGAACTAACGGACAAATTCTGTTTTTTTTTTTTTTTTTATAGATTTTTGGGCTTTTATGCCTTTGTTGACAGACAGGACAGTGGACAGAGTCAGAAATAAGGGACAGCGAGAGTGGGGAACAACATGTGTTAAAGGAGCCACAGGCCGTACTGAACCCAGGCCGCCCACCCTGAGGACTACAGCTTCTGCACATGTGGTGCGCGTTCCACTCACTAGGCCAATGGCACCCCGAACTTATTCAAAATCTCTGTACCAAATTCAACAAAAGACAGTCTGTTGAGATCACTCAGGGATAAAGACACAAATCACATACTCGTATTGGCTGTCCCTGGTGATGGCTCCGTTGGGTCCAATAGCGACCTCAAATGAGGAGGACATCTTGTTCTCATAGATTATAACACCTGGTTCCTCCTGCAGTAGATTGGCATGTTTTAATATTTATTACAAACTATAAAAAAAATGAATGAAAAGCCAGTATCAAAGTCAAATGAGATGTAACCCTTACCGTCATGAAAGTGCCGCAAGAAGTGACAGAGAACTGGTAGATAGCGAAATATGAAGTTGTGCCAACAGGGTTGCAGTTTGGCTCATTTCCATAGAAAGAAATTGTCTCCAAGTCGATGTTGGGAAGTGTGGCACTTCTGGCTACCACCACAATGAACTGGCCGTCTTTCGTGCACTGAAGAGTCACTGGAAAAAAAAAAGTTACAAATCAAAACCGGTACTCATGCTTTACTCTTTTTTGGACATATCCATTAGAACAGTGATTCTCAACTGGTCGAGCCTCAGGACCCACCAACTACTCCGTCATGAAAATTGTGACCCAAATTTTCTTATACAGTAATTTTTCAATCAATCAGATTTATTTAAAGAAACATTGTGCAGTTTTGACATCAGATGTTCCAAAACAAGATAGAACAAAAGAAACTGAAAGAAACAAACTTGCTTCATAGACTTTTTGACAGCATCTTTCGTCGCGACCCCCTGAAAACGGCTCCGCGACCCACTTTTGGGTGCCAACCCACCAGTTGAGAACTACTGCATTAGAAGACAGAGTATACGTACCAAATTTGCCGTAATAGCACGTGCGTCCATCATGGCAGCAGTTTATATTCTCACAATCTGAAGTAGAGATGCCAGGAGCCCCACACTGGATCTTGTAGTTGTTGGGAATTTCACATGAGTGAAATGATTCTGTCGGCGTGTGAGGCGTCTTCCTGGGGTCCTGCGGTATTGGCTGTGGGAATGATGGAGGAGAATGCGGAGGAGAATGCTGGGGCTTCTGGGGCCTCGGGGACTGCGGTTGTTGCGGGGGATTCTGGGGCAGCGCGGGATTCTGGGGATTCTGGGGATTCTGGGGATTCTGGGGCTTCTGGGGCTTCTGGGGCTTCTGGGGCAGCAGGGGATTTTGGGGATTCTGGGGCAGCGGGGGATGCTGGGGATTCTGGGGCAGCGGGGGATGCTGGGGATTCTGGGGCAGCGGGGGATTCTGGGGCTTCGAGTAGGGATATTGAGCGTCAGCCAAACAGCCCAGCAGGGCAACGGCCAAAAGACAACCACAAATCAATTTCATTGCCATGGCGTCACAGCAAAGAGTGGTCTGCAACAACTCCAGATGCTGTGAAAACTGTTGTGCAAAGAGGCCGACTTTTATAAGGTATTGGTAAAAGCCTGCTTCTGGTTAATCTATACCCTATTTGCTGCAAGCTACTGCCAATCAAATGTTCTAGTTCCTGATTGGTCTGTGGTGATATACTGAAGAGATACAGGTAATGCCAAAAGTACATTTTTTTGATGAACAAAATATCAGCTTGTTTTCAGAACTAAAACCTTCCTTTGTTCAAAGTACAAAGTGCAGGTCACACTTTATTTAGGCAGACAAAACAAATACTTCTTATCTCTTGGAATATTTGCTGTTGGTGAAATGTAGGTTGTTACCTTTTTTCCGTTACTGAACCCCCTTCTTCTCATAAAGTTAAAATGTCCATTCTGTAGGTACAGTTGCATGTCGCTAATTATTATTTTTTATTTAATTTGATTATTGTGTCATCCAAAAACAATATGCCCAGTCCAAAACAGGCTTACAAGACTTTATTATTTATACAAAGAGACAAAAGACCAGAATTAGACACTTAATAATAACAATACTAAAGAAAAAAAAGCAATCCTAAACATTTCAGAACCTTGAGTGCACATTTCATGAATCAAATGCGTTCTTAACTCATCATAAAAAGGACAATACAAAAAAAAGTGAGACTCATTCTCCATTTCTCCCATATCACATAGTACACATAGTCTATGTTCCTTTGTGATGCTTTTAAATCTGTCGACTTCAAGAGCGAGAGGGAGGATTCCTTTTCTTAACTGAGCAACTAAAGATCTTCAAAGTTTACTTCAACATAAGATTCAGTCACATAATTGTGCTCGATTTGAAAATATTTCTATAATTTTGGTATTAACAAGCTATCATTTAACCATTTCTCCTCATATCCAGAAAGTAATTCATTTCTAATCCTTTTCAAACTCTATATCTAATTTTTACTATAGGTCTATTGTAATTAAGCTTTCTCAGTTTTGAACTAAATCGATTGTAACTCAGACAGAATTTCATAAATGATGTTGTGAGTTTTACACATTAAGATAATACATTACACTTTTTACAAGACATTGTAAAATGTTAAGATTTGACCAAATTCAATTTGTGATGTCTTGAATTGGACTAATGGCTTCATCCAAAACTAAAAGAGACATATTTAAGTTTTGTTCTTCAGAGATCAACAAAGACTTTTAGATATCTGATGTATTCTAGATTTAAAAAAAACACAGTTCTATTTTAAAAAGGACAAGCTAGCAATAAAAACAATACGGATGGTTATGAAAGCAAAGTAAGGTAATACTTATAATCAATGGTAATTAGGGAGTAAAAACAAACAAAAAAAGGCTATAGAAAGGACTTGCACATTTTTAAAGTCTTCAGTTAGATTTAAAAAAATGTAGGCCAGGAACAGCTATGCTTGCATATTTTTTTTATTAATAGTGTGGTCTAAAAAACAGGAGTCATTATTGTTAATACTATTCTTCCAAGATAGCAAAGCTTGTTTACAATATAAACCAGAATAAATATAGAATAGAATAGAATTACTTTATTGATCCCAAACTGGGAAATTGTGGCGTTCCAGCAGCAGGTTGTCCAAACACACAATATGAGTAAAAAAACACAATGTTAGCAAATTTAAACACAATATAATATCAACTACAAAGTAAATAAGTACTAAAAGATATCAAAAATAAGAATGTGAATATATACAACCAGGATTTAACTAAGCATTACTACTTAAAAAATGAATGATTTCAAAGGACTAGGCCTTAAAAAATTCAACCATATTCCATTTTACAGTATATTGTGACCTTGAGATAACAACTTGGGTTAAAGTGAAACATTGGCACAATTACTGAATGTCATGTAAAATTGCTTTCCTAAAAATATGACCTCAAAGGGCTAGATGGTTTTTCTGTGATCTATAGCCAATGGTCCTTCATTCATAGTGTCATAGTCTGTCTTTTTTACATCCTGTCCCTCCACACAGTTTTTCAGTTCCCCAGGACTCTTGCCATTCTTCATCAGTTCATCATTTATGTCATCCCCCTACCTGTAGCATATTCCCTCATCAGCCACTTGAATGAAAAGCTTAAGAGGGACCCCAGATTAAAGCTGTACCTTTTCCACAGAAGTGCCTACCATATAGAGCAGAAACTTGCTGGAACAAGTATTCTTTCGGATCTTTTGAAATGTGCGCATGGTGCTGATGTACTGTATTTACAGAATTAATGTTTTGACCGCCCTTGCATGCCAAGAAATAAAGTGGCTGTGGCAGTCAGAATGGTGCAACAATTTGGAGGGTTCCATCGAGATTTGAATAACTAAGTAGGCTATCAGAGCTAATGTTCGCTACAGCCGACGTTGACCTTGCACAACACTTCCTTGTTTAATTGTTTTTCAAGCGCTAATAGTGCAAAGTGCTAGAAAAAGATTTCGCAACAAGAACTTACTTTGGGAATAGCAAAAAAACCCAGTTTGAACTGACTGTAAAATAACTGCAATAAGTGTAATATACTGCAAAACTATGGGCAAAGATTATGAGGACATCAAAAGTAAAAGTCTTTAAGTATTTTGCTGCACAGCTGGGGATCAAACCCTTAACCTTTTGTTAGAGAAGCGACAACTCTACCAACTGAGCAGTCGGATTATAGAATTATATTCCACTTTTCCAATCCAAAGTTTTGTACTTGTTGCAGCGCATTGTGCCTCTCATATATTGTAATAGGTCTATCTTCAGTTGAAAAAAATCACAGCAGATTTGATTTGCACACATAATGAACTTTGGTTACATAAGGAGTTTGACATGTCATGTTAAGGGCAGTTAAACCTAACCCTGGGTCAACATAACATTTTTTTTTGACCACTTCTATCTGAGCACATGTTTGCCAACAACCTAGATATCCTTTCTCACTTGTTATTTTTAATTGGAACACATCACCTGTATTGATTTTATGCATGCATGGTTTTACATTTAAAAGACTATCTCGTTATTTCTTGGCCCAATCACATTTTATGAATGAAAATAACGAGCAGAGTTGAGATGCCCATAACCAGATAACCAGATTTGTAAGCCGTTTTGGTCTCCAGTTGCTCAAGTTTTATTGGCTAAGGTTTATGCTCACCAGGTCAGATGTGGTCTGATCTTTAACAAAAGGGGCGGGAATAGAATGGAGGTAAACATGCAAGCTGTCTTATAAAAGTAGGTGCACATTACCACCTTCCTTACAGCACCTAGTGACTCTGTGCAGATCACTCGTTGTTGTGGCACCATGGTGATGAAGTGTTCTCCTGTGTGCCTTATGGCACTAGCCTTGCTTGGCAGCCTCTGTGATGCTCAGTGGAGTCTACCAAATGTCCCGAGAAAGGATCCCAGCAAAAAGCCACCTCAAACACCCCAACAGACAAGGCAGGAGTTCGAGGAACCACTCGTTTGGAAATATCCTGAAGATCCCGTTCCTGAGGTCCAACCCGAGTTCCCCTTTGAGCTAAGATATCCCGTTGCTGCTGCAACAGTTTCTGTCCAATGCAGAGAGAAGGATGCTTATGTGGCAGTCAAGAAGGACATGTTTGCTGTCGGCCAATTCATCAATCCAGCCGACCTTACCCTGGGATCCTGTGGAGTTATGGGAGAGGACAATGCTGCTCAAGTGTTGATTTTTGAAAGTCAACTGCATGAGTGTGGCAGCTCTTTAGTGGTAAGCACAAGCAGATGCCCCCTGACTGAAAAGTAAATCAAAATTAGTAATTACATTATGTTACGAAAGTAAATTTTTTAATGTTTTAAAAAAAAACTAAATTAATGTCTTTGCTAGATGACAGAAGATTCTCTCATCTACACCTGGGTTGTAAACTACACCCCGAAACCTCTGGGCGATTCTCCAGTGGTAAGAACCAGCCAAGCTGCTGTCATTGTGGAGTGTCACTACCAAAGGTAGGCAGACTTTCAGAAAGAAGTAAAGGCATAAAAACAGACTAATAGATTAATCATCTAGTATGATGCAAAGATAATCAAGCGCTGTTACCATTAAACAATTAATGTTGTTTTCTGTATTCAGGAAGCACAACGTGAGCAGCCTTGCTCTGATCCCTCAATGGACCCCATTCTCTGCAGTTAAGGTGTCAGAGGAATTCTTATACTTCACCTTGAAACTCAAGACTGGTGAGTTAAAAGAACAATTTTTTTCTGTGGGTTTATGCTGCTGTGATACATTTCATGTAATTGCACAGATGACTGGCAATATGAGAGACCGAGCTACCAGTATTTCCTGGGAGACATGATTCACATTGAGGCCATTGTCAAACAGTTCTTCCACGTGCCCCTGCGCATTTATGTGGACCGTTGTGTCGCCACTTTTGGACCTGACATGAATTCTCAACCAAGTTACGCCTTCATCGAGAACCACGGGTGAGGAAGTTCAACGAGTTCATTGAAGATGTTCGGTTGTCCGGATTGGAAATACATGAAGACAGACACATTTTTTTTTTGTCCAACTCAGATGTTCATGTGTTTATCTGTCTACAGGTGCTTTGTTGATGCTAAGGTCACGGGCTCTGACTCAAAGTTCAGAACTCGCTCTGAAGAGAACAAGCTCCAGTTCCAGTTGGAGGCTTTCAGGTTCCAGGGCACTGACAGTGGAATGGTGAGCATCTCTGAGTATTGTTTCATATTTGCTGCTTTACATTCAATGCAGAACATAAATTCTTATTACCCCCCACAGCTCTACATCACCTGCCACTTGAAAGCGACATCTGCTGCCTATGCCATCGACACTGACCATAGAGCTTGCTCTTACACCGGCGGGTAAGCCTGCATGTGTTTATTTTTTAATAAAGCAGTATGACTGAAGAATTGAGACTGTATTTTACATCTTATGTCTCCCTTTCTTTTTTAGATGGGAGGAGGCCAGCGGTGCTAATTCAGTTTGTGGCTCCTGTGACTCTGTCTCAGCTGGCGGCTCAAACAGTGCTTCCTGGGCTTCTGCTAATCCGGTTAATCCTTCATTTCAACCAGTTGGCGGCTCAAACACTGGTTCGTGGGGTTCTTCTAGTCCGGTTAATCCTTCATTTCAACCAGTTGGCGGCTCACACCATGGCTCGTGGGGTTCTTCTAGTCCGGGTAATCCTTCGTTTCAACCAGTTGGCGGCTCAAACACTGGTTCCTGGGGTTCTTCTAGTCCGGCTAAACCTGGCAGGAAGGTCCGCGATGTCTCCAAGACTGGAGAAAGTGAAGGTATGTAAATAAATAAAAATAGTTTGAAAGTGTTTGATAAGGAATCAATCCAAATTGATACATTAGCAAAGAGGTAATGCCTTTATGGATGTTTTTAAACAACCAACGTGGTGCACTCTGTTAACACTTGTCTTCTGTCTTTCTTCCGAAGTATTCGAATGGGAAGGTGATGTCACCCTGGGTCCCTTTGCCATTGGAGAGAAGGTGATCGCTTAATTAAAATTTCTGCTATGGCTGACCAACAGAATAAACCTTATTAATTGGTTCTAACTGTATGTTTTTTCCTCTTGCGTATTGTTCATAGTGCAGATTCAAAAAGGGTTAAATACCTGTCTCGCAGTGATATGTACATTTTCAGACAAAATAATAATAATATAGCCTGGAAATGCTTGTAGGCAAACTTCCAAAAGATAAAAGTGTAACTTTTTGTGCATTAGCATCTCTGTGATGATAAATGTTACATAGACACCTGTCCAGTTTAAAGACTGTAAATCCCTCCATTTGATGGAAATAAAAATGCAACCTGTTAAATGCTTGTGTCATTCAGTCACACATTTAAAAATGGACTGGGGGATTCTCTGACTTAGACATCATAAGGTGAAGTAACAAAGATATAAAAGAGGAAACAAGAAGGGCTGAATGGGCTTTACCCCCATTCCACCACAGCTTATTGGTTGAATAAATCAGTTTTTAATTGAATTCAGTTAATAAAGGTATGACACACATGCACTTGTACTGGTCAGGAGAGTCATGTTTTACACAGTGAATGAACACATACCGCCACCGTGTGGAGAAAATCTTTAACTGCAGTTTAGTAATGCATCTTTAACTGCAGTTTAGCTCATTCACCTTTCTAAAAGTCTGTGGTGTGATCACTTATCAACTGAAGGTTACAGTTATTATGGATGAGCATTTCAGCCTCCAGCCTCTGATCGTCATGTAAAATTGCTTTCCAAGAAATATGACCTCAAAGATGGTTTGCTGTGATCTATGGCCAATGGTCCTTCATTCATAGTGTCATAGTCTGTCTTTTTCACATCCTGTCCCTCCACACAGTTTTTCAGTTCCCCAGGACTCTTGCCATTCTTCATCAGTTCATCATTTCCTCTCATCCTCTCTACCTGTAGCATATTGCCTCATCAGCCACTTGAATGAAAAGCTTAAAAGAGGGAACCTTATCCTACTACGATTGTCTTGTAATAAAGCCAATCTCAAAACAGATAAGCCTATATATTTAGTAATATAGAGTTAAGAGAGTTAAATTCATATGTACTATAGTAATGAGTGTTAGAATAATAGAAATGCATTTGAGTGAACTCTCAGGTAGAAGAGGCAGGTGAATTATTTGCCCAATATGAAAATATTGATCATCAGATATGTATTTTGTTTTCTCTTTCTGCTGACACACATTTCTTGCTTGGTTGGGATTGTACGAAGGGCTCCTCACAGCTGACGTTAATCCAAAAAAAACATTATCACATTAACACAAACGTTCATGAAACCATAAAGTTAAGGTCGGATAATCCAATCCATTTATTAATTGTTACAAAAAATAACTGATTTATCAACAAAAACGTATAGGCTACGGTCCAGCCACAGCCAAACACCACTGACCTCCTGTGTGCAACACCTGCTGCTCATCAGCATCCCTTTAGCTCCTTGGGCTCATGGTGCCACCCAGAGGTCAGCCCAACAAAACTAAACAGCAATATGGCTCCAACACAAACCGGCCCCTAATTGTCTACAATTCACTTATCAGACACTTTTCTCCAAAGCGACGTACATCAGAGAGTAAGAACAACACAAGCAAGGATCTAGAAAAAAGGGAACAATGTGAGTAAGAACAAACGATCAGCTTTGAGTCTGATTGGACACACAGGTGCTGACAGGAAGTGACCAGAGGCAAAGCACAACATTGAGGGCAGTTCTTGAGAGCTCTAATCAGTATAGAAACCATCTTATAAGTCGTCGTTATCAAACAAAAACCATCGTCATTACCATCATCATCATCAATAATATGGAGACCATCATCATTAAGTTAGTAGGTATTCATGAAAGAGCTGGGTCTTTAGCTTTTTCTTAAAGGTGCAGAGGGACTCTGCAGATCACATGGAGTTTGGAAGTTCATTCCACCACCGGGGGGCGACAGAGGAGAAGAGTCTAGTCAGAGACTTAGGACCCTGTAGTGAAGGTTGGATCAGACGCCTTTCATTGGCAGAGCGTAGTGGGGGGAGGGAGTGTAGATCTGGATCAGAGTTAAAGTAAGGAGAAGTTTTTGTTGCTGTTTTGTAAGCGAGCAGCAGAGTTTTAAATTTGATGTAAGCAGTAACTGGGAGCCAGTGTAAGGAGATGAACAGCGGAGTGACATGTGCTCTTGTTCATGGTTTTCCTTAGGCCTACATGAAAATTACAAATGGCCTCAATAGGAGCCATAAAAGACACTTTATTACTTTATTTAGCACAAATCAACATTTTTCATGCAGCTTTCCTTCTGTAATACACATTTAAACCCTTTATCAGTCAGCCCCACAAAATGAAACACCAATAATGGCCCCAACAATTTCTATTTTTTTACATTTATCAATCAATCAATCAAACTTTATTTATATAGCGCCTTTCAGACAAATTAAATTGCAGTTCAAAGTGCTTAACAAGAGTGTAAAGATTTTAAAACAGGTGTGATGTGTGCTCTCCTTCTGGTCTTTGTCAGTACGCAGGCGGCAGAGTTTTGTAGTAGCTGTAGCCGATTTGTTGTGTTTTTAGGAAGACCAGAAAGGAGAGCGATACAATAGTCCAGCCAGCTAATAATAAAAGTGTGCATTAGTCTCTCTGTTTGGCTCAGAGAGAGAATTTCATTTACACCCAAGTGGGGGTGGATCGCCCCTGAAAAGGTTTTCGACTTCATTTATCATTATTTCACACTATTAGCCTATAGGTTACCTTTACATCACACACTTTAAACAAGACATTTTGTTTTGTTTAACAGCATGGGCGGTCCTAGGCAGGGGCCAACAGGGGCACTGCTGGCCCCTGTAATACTGAGCTTGGTCCCCCCCCCTGTGGCCCCCCCTCCAAAAGGCAGAGCCCACATAATAACACATTAACACAGTATTTGACTCAACAACCTGACCCACAATCTAGTATTAAATACTTTTACTGAAACAAATATAAATCATGATATTTAATGATGGTTGCTATTATTTGGCATATTCAATTTTTTTTAAAGTAATCATCTTTGACTGTTATATTTTGACATATTTTGACAATTATATTATTGTATATACTACATATTTGACTATTTTTCACCTGGGTTTAATGTTCCCCTCTGAAAAAACAACTGGCCCCTGTTTGGCCCCCTCAGTTTTGTTCTTCTAATTGATTTTTCTTTGTTAATAAAAGATTCAGGTTTATTTTCGTTGCATTCCAGTGAGTCTATCTGATCTTACTTCCTACCTCTACTAATGGCCTATTGAAACGCGTGTAGCCTTCTTATTACACTCTCGGTGTTTTGATGCAGATTTAGAAATTGCTCCACGGCACTGGTCCATCCACTCCACATTGCACTGCACAGGAAAGCCTGCTGCTCATACGGTAACAGCACTGACGTTATATCTGCTGCTCCACTCCCTCCTCCCTCCTCCCTCCTCCTCCCCGTCTCTGCTGTCTCCGCACTGCTGGCCCTGTATCCGTTGTGTGTCACAGGCAGCAGCATCACAGTAGCAGCAATAGCAGCAGACATTTGGCGAGGAAAAGAAAACACGGACTGCGGACGCACATATTGGACATATTAGGAGACGGAAACAGGATTGTATTTTAAAAATCTCCCCCCGTTTGGATGCAGTGTTACTGAAACTCATCCCTGCCTCTACATCCTTCTTGCCTAGTGTGGATGTTTGACTGCAGATTTGATGGTGCTGAGCAGGCTCGTCTGATTGAAGGCTTGTGGCCAGGCGGGTGGAGGGGGGGGGAGAGAGAATCTGTGGGGCCGCAGAGAGACAGAAAAACCCTCCGTGGCTCCGTCTTCTGCCCCGTGTGTCTGTGAATGGACTGCGCTCCATCCGTGATTCTCCGCAGTCGCTTTGAGTCATTTGTGGAAGAAGATGGCGGACAGGGCTGAGATGTTTTCCCTTTCCACTTTCCATTCCCTCTCCCCCCCTGGATGCAGGTAAGAGCGCACAGAAAAGAGCGACCGATGAGGGATGATGGGGGCGCAGTTTTTGAATAAGGGATGGATACCAACGATTATGGATGTATTCGTTATGTTTAATGACTGCAAAACATCACATATTCCTGCTACGGACAGTTATCGATATTATGATTAACCTGCAGGCCTGTAATGCCTCCCATGCGCGCCTATAGGTGCCAAACATGGCCGGGTTAGTTGTGTTTTTGGATTTGATTTGCCATCTTAGAAAAACTGTTAGAAGATAAATGATTTTGTTTTCCCAAAAAAATGAAAATAAATACAAAAAAAAACTTTTAAAAGAAGAGAGGAAATGATTGATCTCAAGCAGTCGCGGACAGGCACCACCCGCCTTGCGCATTCTCTGTACGAGGCCCACGCCCTGTTGAGTCCAGCCCAGGCAAGGGCATGATGCTGAACAATGATTTACGGAAGCCCCCCCCCCCCCCCCCCCATATTAAAGCTGTTTTTTAAATGTGACCTCTGCGACAAACAATATGTCTAATCACTCTTGCGTTTTCTTCTTCGTCGAGAACACTACACTGTGAGTGGGAGATCATAGATCTACAGATAAATGATGCTATCATAGGTGATGATTCTTTTTTTCCTTTTGAGATGTTATAGGCCTCACAAGGATGTGGACAACTTTGGTGTGAAATAGTTTTTGGAGGCTGCAGCAATATTCAAATCTGCTATATTGCCTCAAAGCATATATAGACTATTACATACTACTGCTTCTTTAATGGCTCTCTCTCTCTCTCTCTCTCTCTTTTCCATATAGTCGATCTCTAGAAAGAAAATATCCAAGGTTACTTTACAGAAAAAGCACAGCCCATGCTGTATCTTTATATTTACAACATACATTGTGTAACCCAGAAAGAGGAAAACATAAAAGTGTGAAAACAACATGAGCTCACACAAACAGCACAGTGGAAGCTTTCTGCACTATGACACAACACCATGTCATCGTCCTGTCTCCTGTCTCTGCCTCCACATATCCCTCGTTCTTATAAAAATGCAATCACATTAGCACACCAGGGTCCCAGAGGACTTTATATCCCAGCATGCACTCACGCAGGATTTAGTTACATACTGTAACTTCATCTCAGGACGGATCATATCAGATCTATAGAGCAGAGTTTTCTGCATGACTGACCTTACCTCGGGACTATTGAATTTCCCCTTGTGATCAATAAAGTATCTATTTATCTATCTATCTATCTATCTATCTATCAATCTATCTATCTATCTATCAATAATTTAATGTTAAGCATTTTGAAACAGCAGGAGAAAGATCGGTTTATT